GGGGAGGGGAGGAGGACGGGATGGGGAGTGACAACTGGCTTTTAGGAATACTGCCTGAGAGTGGCATAGAAAGTTTTCAGAGGATGACGGGATAAGAGAACCAGGAATCCTTGAATAGTCAAGGGAGAGGGAACATGGCAGACTCTCACGGATCGTATCTTACTCTGGGCAGGGCCAGGTGGCTGAGCTGGCTTGATCTCCGGCAGAGCTGGGCGCTTGGCATCAGTGAGAAAGTTGTTAAAAAATGCCACCTCCTTCTTCACTTCCTCAATCTTCTCTGCATGCTTGTTGAAGATATGTTTGCGTACAAACTCAGGGCCCTGGGGAAAGAAAGAGAGGGTCAGACCAGAGCAAGCAATGTGGAAGGATAATCAACCTCCCCGCCCACCAATTCCAGAGCCAATTCCTCCCCAGGCCGGAGGCGGCTTCCTGGCTCAACCCCCTCGGCCCACAGTTCTAACACACAACTCTCTAACATCCCAGACCTTGAATTTCTTGCCACTGAGAGGGCATAGCCACTTATCCTTGCCCAGTTCCTGGGTGTTAGAGGTGACAAACTTTTCCACTTCCTGCTCAGGGTCTTTGCGACCCATCTTCTGAGCCTCTTCCTCGGAAAGAGATTCCCGTACACTCAGCAGCGGAGTCAGCTTCTCCTCAAATGTCTTCTGCCACTCTAGCACTGTGGTTTGGGAACAGACAGCGGGCTGAAGAAGGGAGCCAGAAGCAAGGAATAAAAAGGAAGGGATAAGGGCACCTGGCTGGCTCAGTCAGAGCATGTGACTCTTGATCTCAGGGTCCTGATTCTGAGCCCTACATTGGGCATAAAGATTATTTAAAAATAAAATACTTAAAGAAAAAAAGAAAAAGGAGAGGATAACAGGAGAGGGCGGGAAGGCACTGCTACCAGAACAGATCTAACACCAGAGGCAGCTGAGGAGAAAGGAAAACCAAAGGGGAATCGGGAATGGGGGAGCTGGGGGCCCACCTTCTCCATGACTGATGCGGTTGGGTGGCATGGGCCCCCGAACATGGATGATGCCACAACGGTTGGGCATTTCGTCCTCATTGGGGTACTCGCAAGTGTTATAATAATCCAGGGAATGCACAATGCGCAAATAGAGAAGGAGTTTGTCCAAAACCTGCGGGAAATGAAAACGTGTGAGTTCACCATACTCTTCTTGCCCCTTTGCTGCCCCAAGCCAGGACCTTGGCCGCCTGCCCTTGCTGGCACCTTGATCAGTTTTTCATCCCGCTCCACATTGATCTCTGCAGGGTTCCCTTCCTTAGGGGGCTCCTCAGGGGGAGCGCCCCCACTGCTCCCCAGCAGCTCCTCCTCCTCCGCACTCACTTCCTCAATCAGATAGTCAGTAATATTCTTCAAGATTGGGTTCTGGGAGGGCAGACTCTGGTAGGCAGGAAAAAGAAGGGCAAGTGAGATGACAAGAGAAAACCCTGAGGTAGGTAGTCCCGGAAGCTCCTCATATGAAGCAGAAGGAATCCAGGGTTCACTTGGCCTGTTACCACTGCTTCACTATTTGTCTTTTTCTTATTCTATCCTAGCCAATACATCATCACTAATGCCAGTCTATTCTACTGGAAAAGCTGGAGTGCTGCCCAAATAGAATAGGAACAAGGGGTCAATGCTACAGACAAGACCGGAGGTGCCCACAGCAGCCGACATGGTATCGGCTGCTTTTGGAAAAGTTCCATGGGGAGTCACTGACTGTTGGCAGAGGAGGTGTCCCAGGCTCAGAGGCCCAGAGCTGGGTCCTGTCATCCAGCGTATGGATCAGCTTGGCGGCCAGCTTGATGTCGTTGCGCACTATCTGCTTGTGCTGGGTAATGCCATTGATGTTGCGGACTCGGCGGGTCAGGTCTCTGTTCACACCAGGGCTCAGCTCACACTCCCGGAGCTAGAGGGAATGAACACAAAGCTCACCAACACTCGCCCAAGAAGCAGCAGCTCCAGGGACTGGCCCTACTGACAGGACCAGCAACTGGACCGTGAGCTCCCCGAGAACAGGGACCAGGAGGGTCTTATTCATGGACACCAGTATATACTTAATGTGAGCAGACTGAATGGACGGATGGGGGGGCAGAATGAATGAATCAAAAGAACAAGGAATCAGAGGTTGTGTGCAGCACAGAGAGCCCACTCCCAGCACTTACCCGGATATTCTGCAGGTTCCAGCAGATCTCTTTGATGTTAACGCTGCGGTCAAAGGTCACCCAGCCTCGACGGAAAAACCTACAGAAGAAAAGATCAGCATAACCCTGGGGTGGAACGGATACCGGCCATTTGCCTCCCCCTATACCCTATCTCCAGGGTTTCCAGGGTCACTCTTCTCTCCATTCCTCACCTCCTCTCAGGCTGGGGCTCTGACAGTGCCACACGCATGAAGCCTGGGTATCTTTTACAAAGCTGGAAAAACAGGAACAGAAACCCCACTGAGCGATTCAACGTTTCACTTCTTCCTCCAATCCCCATGTCCTCAGAACTCTAGGAATTGCCTTTGAATCTTTACTCAAATAAGGAAAAACCAATAAAGGGCTTAAGAATAAGAGCACTTAAAAGCAAATGGTGCGATTGGAGCCAGCCCACAAAAGGCATGGGCCCATGGGAAGGGGTCTCCCTGTTAGAGAAAGAGGGGTATATGTTAGAAGCAGAGTCACATTATCCTCTCCCCACCTCACCAGCTCCCCCTCCCTGCCACCAAAGATGGAGCCTGGGTGCCATTCCTGCCCCCAATACTTTTCCCCACTCACAGAAATGATCTCTGCCCGCGAGATGTTGGGTGCGATGTTGCGCATGAAGAGGGAGCAAGTCTTATGAAGGGGCCGAGGTTTACATTCCAACCCAGGAGTGTCCTTAGGCTTCTCCCTTTCTTCTTCTTTGGGCTTCTCCTTTTCCTTGAGTGCCTCTTCTATGCAGAAAGTGGTGGGAGTCGGTGATTTTTTATTGTTGATTTTGGAAGGGAAGACAGAGAAGCAGTCACACTCCCACCTCCCCACCCTC